TTCTTAGACCTGTCTAAAGCTTTTGACACTGTGGATCATAACATCTTGTGTCATAAACTCTCAGAAATCGGTTTCTCAGATCACACCATTGGTTGGTTCTCTAACTATCTTTCAGACCGGAGGCAATGTGTTCAACATAATGGTACTTCCTCCAGTTATTTAACAGTCAACAATGGTGTACCACAAGGCTCAGTCTTAGGACCCACCCTCTTTACAATCTACATACATAATGTAGGTAAAAACATCCCTAATGCATCCATACATTTCTATGCTGACGACACAGTTGTTTATTGTCGAGCTAAAACAGTTGCTAAGGCTTTCCAGCTTCTGAAATCTGCATTTAACTACATCCAGACTGATTTGTTTCACCTCAAACTTGTCCTAAATGCCGAAAAAACCAAAGGGATGCTTTTTTCAAATAGGAAGTTGGTCCCAGCAGTTCTTCCTCCGATTTTATCCTCAAATGGTGTCCCCATTGAGTTTGTTGATTCCTATAAATATTTGGGTATCTTGGTCGACTCCATCTTTCTTTTAAGCTCCATGTGGAAAACTTGGTAAAGAAACTGAAAGTTAAACTGGGTTTCTTTTTCAGAAACAGATCCTGTCTAACCCTGAATGCTAGAAAACGCCTTGTATCTGTGACTTTCCTTCCCTCAATTGATTTTGGTGACATTATTTACATGAACGCTCCTACAAGAACCCTGCAGATGTTGGATGCTGTCTATCATGGTGCACTAAGATTCATAACTGGCTGTGATTATCGTACCCACCACTGCACCCTGTATTCATTGGTTAACTGGACATCATTAACTTCACGCAGACTCTCTCACTGGTACATTTTCATCTTTAAATCACTTCTTGGTCTGCTGCCTTCATACATCTCCTCCTACATGTCTCTGCGTGAGTGCAGCTACGGAGTGCACTCTCAGGACATTATTACCTGCAGTGTTCCCTCAGTGAGGACTGAACTAGGCAAAAGGGCCTTCTCCTACTCCGCTCCTGTCTCCTGGAATATCTTACAAAAAGATTTGAAGCTCTCGACCTTGACCTCTCTAAGTGGCTTTAAGAATCTGTTGGACTCCTGGCAGGGACCAATGCAGACATGTTCCTGTTTTTAGTTTTATACATTTGTCTTGGAATCTAGCTGTTTTTTTTGTTTTGTTACCTTTTTCCTTTTAGCCATCCTATTTGTTAAAAAAAAA